AAGAATTTCCACTAGATGTTGTCCTCCTCCAAGCTAAAGTTAATCTCCAAGTAGTTTTGAAGTTGGGTGCAAATTTGGATGTAAAATGGAAGCAAGATGAAATGGCGCTTCTTCCTCTTCTTCCTTTGCTGTTTTTGGCTGACTCCAAGAGAGAGAAGAGAGAGTGTTTTGTGTGTTGATGGTTGGTGGATGAAGTGTGTTAAGGAAGCCAAGTTAATGGTGCAAAAGTCAACTCACAATAGTGCGCGAATAATGAGGTGCACTATCACTTTTCTCTCTTGTTTATTGCACTTGTGCACTAATCCTTAAATGTAATTCCTTTAACACTATAATTATTCACATTTAGTAGTCTAGTATAAGTTTCTTAAATCTCCACTTAGTTGATTCGACACGAAATATGCGAACCTCCGATTCGCGCGTGATAAGGCGAAATTAAAAATGATTCATGTAATGATAAGATAATTAACTAATACTAAGGCAAATAATTATTTTAACAATAAAAACACGAGTCCTCACATACATGCTACTTATTGAAGGAAACTACCTATCTACTAAATATTTAATGAATTCTCATAAGCACTAATGGTCAATTTAATAGGTGATTGGAACAAATAATCATCTAGTAAAAACTTTTGATATAATGTTATTGATGAATAACATACCATACATTCTGATAAACAAGGTGTACATCACACACCTTATCTAGACAAAATCCTACAAGTTATCAAAAGTTATGCCATACTTTAAAAGCAATTACAAGTAGCAAAATTTGTACATGTACAGTCATATCAATAGATTGTAACTTTTAACTCACTTTCTGTATAGTCATACAAACACAAGAATTGTATAATACATCTCTTGCTTTATAACATAGTTTTCCTAACTATGCTTAACATTTTTCTCCAGTTGTGTGAAGCTTAAACTCCTTTATCAATCTAATGACTTGGTTATTTTAAGAGTTACTAATCGACCTATGAATAACCAAAGTTAAGGATAAGGGTTAGTAGAATTACCTTCGTCTACCTCTACCATTGTTTTTCAACCTTGCTTCGCCAGCTGGGATAGTGGTGTATGTACTCAGTTCTATTTTGCTACCTAATATTTGCTTCATGATCGAAATTGCGAGGCGTCAATACCTGTTGCATATGTGTTCTTTACCCTTAATCGTCAACAAATCTCCTATGTAATAATGAAACACTACTATAGCTTGCTTCTTCAATTTGAATAGCCCTTGTCCATCAAACACATATCCCTCACAACACGTTACTCCTCTAGCTTCAACAAAGAGGGAGAACATTATCTCTCAGTAATTTTCTCATCCCCAGCTAGAGAGAGAAATTAGTTTCCTTGAAGGTAAATATGATGTTGAATTTTCAATTTCCGGTTAGAAAGATAAAGTTGTTTTCTTCAACATTGTGTTGAATAATAACTTTCCCAAATTTAACTTGAAGCTAACCATCAAATTCCAAATTTCATTTCAAAATTTGAACTTTTGAAAGTTCCGTTTAGTTTAACCCAGTCCGTTAAGATAAGGCAACTCAAAATTTGTTTTTTTTTTTAGATTTTACTAATTGGAACGACTACACTTTTGCTTCTCTTGTGGTCCTTGGTTGCGTGGCTCTTTTTCAGCCACTTATTAAGGCTTGTGAGAAGAGCGTCCAGGGACGGTCCTTCTGATGACCGTCCCGGTCTCGTATCCAGAAGGACTGTCCCGGTCCTGTATCCCAAAAACGACATCCTCGGTAAAGTGCACAAGTTGAATGATTTCCAATGCATCATCTTCAATAGTAAAATACGGGATGAATAAATTCTTTGTAGTGAAGATAGCTTCCCAATTAAAAAAATGTTTAATTAATTTGCTTTTGAATCAAGCGTGAGAATGCACAAAGCCACCAATTTTGGTCCAGAATTGAGAGTTGTCATCTTTGTACAATCCCTTTCGAAAATTCTTCGAATCCATTAACTATTATCCCAACAGCCACAATAAATTTCATTCCAATTCTTGGTTGACATTTCCTAGAACCAATTGCCCCTGCCCCCTGAAGAAAAAAAATCCCATCAGGCTGCAGATATGCCAAAGTTTGTTCAAATATACATAAACCCCCCCTGTAGTTTGAACAATCACATTCACCTCCTTTTTGGTTTTTCAAATAGGGAAAATGGCCAATTTCGTCCCTATACTTTTTTATAGTGTCAATTCAGTCCTTATATAATTTTTTTGGCCAATTTGATACCTATACTTATTTTGCGGTACCAATTGAGGAACGCTGCGGCGGCGCCACCACGTAAATTCGATTAACCTACTAATTGAACAACTAAGCAGGGGTATTTCGGACACTTCACTGCTTCTTCATTTTTCACCTTTTCTTCTTCATCTTGCTTATCACCATCCATAGAAGCCATAGCCGGAGTAGCTGATCCGTCTCACTCCAACTCGAGGACAGATGCTGGTGACGTACGCGAGACCAGGCTTTCAGCAGAGTCCTCAAATACACAAGAAGGAATGTCATTTTGATTATGTGGCTGGGAAACCGCCATTGAGCTAGACTGATTATTATATTCATGATTGACATTAGAACACTTCTCAGACGCATTTTGATCAACCATGGCCCTAGCTTCAAATTCAAGTCATTTCGCTTCATAGGCTCTTGAAGCTTCCTTTATAAAATAATTACCCAACCAGATCCTCTTTCCCTTAAACGGGTTGCGAATTTCTATAGCCCATTTTCCCCATTTCCTTTGCCTGAGACCTTTGTATTTGGAAGAGGAAGGCCTTGATTGAGGTTAACTCTACAGTTTAGCTAAACCAGTCTTCTTCTTGGGGTTGTTTTTCTCCGCATTATTGCTCTCTTGACAGGAATTTTTAGCTACCTGTGCAACAGCCATAGCCACAGGCTAATCAGGTTGCCTTTTCAACTCCACAATAGGAAGAATAATCTCCCTAAGAAATCTCTTAGGCTTCTTTTCAATCACCGTTTCATCATCTGATGAATCAGTATCAGTAGCATTCGAATCGTAACAAAAGACCCGAATCTTCCTCACGGGTCAGTACCACTTCCACCAGAATCTGAAAAAGTTTGACAAATTCAACAATAAAATTAGTCAAAATCAACTCTTTACTACTGCGCATATAACTAGCATCGCAAACCCATCCAAAAGTCAATGCTAACAATATGGATTTCGAATTCGACGCCCATTTAGCTACCTTCATCTGGATTTGGCTGAACTGGTTCCTGATCATCGAGGGCCTGAGGTGGTGGCGGATCTTCAGCTTCTTGAACTGGCCGCTGCTGCAGCTGCCGCAGCTGCGGTTCTTGATCAGCTGCCATCTTCGCTGCTTGATCACCTCCAATCCTATGCGATTGTTTACGCCGCGGTCGGCTGGAATGCGGGGCAGAATGCCCCTCACCACCTTGAGGAATTGAAGTTCGTTTCTGTGCAGCCATTTTTGGGACTTCTTTTTGTATTTTCCCTTTCTTCCTCCCTCTTATGGTTTCCTCTGGCAACTTCCAAACCACCCCTTCTTTAATGGGTTGCGGAGATTATTTGGAAATAAATAAAAGGATTGAAGAAGATGATGGTTGCAGGCTATGGGGAGGATAATTGACTGGGGAGAGTGACGGAAGAGTTGCTGTCTTTCGCTTCTTTTTTTATCCTTCTTTCTGCCTTTCGAAGTTGGAACTTGGAAGAACGGTTCAACCAGCAGTGAAGTGTCCGAAATACCCCTGCTTAGTTGTTCAATTTGTAAGTTAATCGAATTTACATGGTGCGCCGCCGCAGCGTTCCTCAATTGTACCGCAAAATAAGTATAGGTATCAAATTGGCCAAAAAAATTATATAAGGATTGAATTGACACTATAAAAAAGTATAGGGACGAAATTGGCCATTTTCCCTTACAAGTGTTTAGGTTGTAGGAACGATGGCCAAAGTATCATTCTTATGCCTCATGACAACCAAAGTAACGCAGTGGTCATTGAAAATCCATTCCTCTTTTGATATTTGAAAATCTTCCAAAGAAAGGTAGTGATCAGTAGGGCTCTTATTTGAAACGAAATTACTCTTTCAAAGGCTCAAATGGTAGAGCAAATGATAAAATGTGTATGGGTAGAGAAAAGAATGCTCGAAGTATCATACCAAATTTTCAAAACAAACAAGAATAATGCACATTTTTGCTTTCACTTAGATGTGAATTGAATCGGTTACACAATGGATATTTTCAAGCAAAGATGGCCCCAATTTGCAATTTATCAATCAATGTGACTGATTTTATTCTGGGGTTAAGTGAAAGAGAAAAGGTATCTCATCGGGCTTTTTGAGTGGCCATTCACCCTTTTGTTCTCTGAGCACTCTTATTGTATAGCTTGGATCACCGATCAAATGTAAGGATTTAGGAAGCATACATTTGTGAATTTTCAGGCTAGAGGTTGAAAAAATCTCAATTTGTTTTATTTCTCAAAATTCATCATGAAATCTCCAATGAATAAGAATAAAGAATGAAATGTACATAAATATACACAAGACAATGATTGTCCCAAAAATTTTATTGCTGAAAAAGTTTGAAACAAAAATTCTCATTCAATTATGATACAAATGAGAAGAGAGAAACTTGTAAAGAGCTCCACATATACACTTTTTGTCTCCTTTTCTTTTGACACAAAAATATATTAACAAGTCAAATATATAGAATTTTCCTTGAAAACAATTATGAAATCTCTTAGAATCTCTTAACCTAGAGCTTTCAGATGGATCTTTCAGGTTTCCATTGTTGGATCTGCCCAAGAATCAAATAATACTTTCCAAACTTTATCGGATCAAAAATTGTTATCCAATATAGGGAAATATTTTCATCTTATTGAAACCTTTTTTATGAATGCAGGGGAGGGGGAAAACAAAGAAAAATACCCTGAGTTAGTAAACAAGAATATAAAATCGGTATGCATGTCCTATGGGGGGACCCTTTTTGTGCCAAGGGTAGGCCTAGCATGAAAATGCAAGTTATTAGTCCCTTATACGAGTAAAAATTCCTTGTCATTTTCCTCTTGTAATGCATCAATTTTCAACACTTTCTTTGAGTTAGATGTTTTGGCATTGATCACGGAGATGAGGCCAGTTGTAATGGTAGATTATGGTGGAAAGATGCCTGAATTGCAAGAACAGCTTTGTTCTTTTCTTGACAGCTGCCAAAAGGTTAGTGTCTGAATTAATTTCACTTGTTTCACTTTATCTAATTGTATCTCAATATCAGTGCCTGAAGTTTCATCTGTTCACTTTATCTGATTATTCGTGCCTTGAATAATTTCTTCTCTTCCATGTATCGAGTTTGTGTCCTATCTTCTTGTCATTGAAGCCATCATTTATTGGTTTGACATGAGATCACTAGTTTGAGTCTAGCTATGAGTAAATCCTGTTGGCTATTCTAATCATCAATATATGAGCTGCATGGTGATTCAGAAATTTTTAAGAGGTTATTGCTGCATCAATTAATTATTTGGAATTTTCTAAGCAAAAGGGGTGCATAGTTTTGGGCTCATTTTATGCTTATGGTACATGTATTCCGTTTTCATAAGATACTTAGCATGTGTGCCTTCTATTACTTGTTTTACACATAAACTGGGGATTATGGACAGGAAATTAATGAGTAAAAATTATCTACAATCTGTTAAATTTTGGTTACTGACAGACCTGAGTTTCTCTTGATAATTGTGAAGGGCTCATCTTTCCCTTGTTACATCTCCTTAAGGATCGATAGCATTATATCACCGCATCAAAGAGTGATTAGATTGTTAGTTTGGCAATTAGGTTGTAAGAACTGACAACTCAATTGGTATAATTGGCACTCATAAAGTTTGAACTTCTGGAAATTTAGGGGCTGTTTTTGTTAGCTTAAGGCAAGCCAATTATGGATTCTTATTAAACTAAACTAAAATTGTTTTGAGGTGTTTTAGTTTATTTGTCCATTTGGTGAATCTGGTGATGCTAACTGGTTGCACAAATGAACCAGCACCAACTAGGCAATTTTGGTGGGTTTAATGGATGAGAGGTGATGAGATGCTATGGTGAACGCGAGGAAGATGAAGAGATTAATCAGAAAAAAGATGGAGAGTATGTTTTTCATATCGAGGAAGATGAAAGGTTGAGTCTGAGGGTAAAGTTGGACTCAACATGCTGGATGGAGCAAACGAAGGAAAATAATAAGTGTTGGTCTAAAGTAACCTGTTGGTGATTCTTTAGTTGTTACTACTTACTAGTGCAATCGTTGGATATAAATAAATTACGTGCATATTTTATTCCTAGTTGCTATTCCATGTTATTAGTAACTTATGGGTGACTTTAGAACTTCGTGCCATCTGATCATCTAAAAGAATTAACTAAGAAAACTAATAATAGGTACCAATATCCAGGATAGAGATGGGATTTGACAATGATATCTATTTTGTATGGCAACCCCTGTATTTAACTATTTATTTATGTGTAACTTAATCCCTTTGCAATTTTGGTGTTTTCTAATACTAATTTTAGAATGATTTATTTTCGAATATCTTATGCACCTATGAGTATAGGAAACATGCCCCTGCACCCATATCTCAAATTTAGACACGTATCTGTGATCCAGTAATTTTGAAATATGCGAATCCAACACATCACCACACACCATTAGGCACCGACGCCCAAGGCCATGTAACATAGGGCGTGGCATATTGTTGGCCCATTTCAACAAGTTTTAGTAAGCAGTGGTCCATGGAGGTGTTGCTTTATGTACATTTAGTTTGCAAACTTGGAGAGATATTGCTCAAGGAGGTTTTGGGAAGCCATGGTTGTAGAATTTGGCAGCCATGGATGGCCCAATGCTTCTAACCTTTTTCAGAGTGTCTACCTCCTGTCACCTAAGCTTTTACAACCATTTTGACACAAGGTGACCTGTGTGCTTGGCATTGGGGCAATGTTGGTAACTTTTTAGGGATATACATTCATGTGAAGACGGTCATTCATGGTTTTAAGCAAGTTTAGTGTATTCTGTGTGGAAATTAATGAGCAGGCTGTACATGGGCAGGCTGTATGTGAAATTAATGAGGTTAGTGTGGGCCATGAGGTAACATTGTGGTTTGACAAGTAGTGCATTCATTGGCTAAGTAATTGGACTATTGTCACATGGGCCTGTGGTATGACGAGAAATGGGCCATGATATAGGCACCAGTTTCTGTTACATAGCTTGGTTTGACAATAGGATCTGACCAAACTATTGACAGTTACAAGTTGTTTATGGAATTTGCCTAGATTTTGGAATGTGGCACTTGGAGGCCATGTGTCATGTTTGTAATATGTAGGCTAACACTTGTGATTGGCACTATTGGCGGAATATTTGATATTTGAGGCCCTAAGATGAGATGCATGTGTGATTGAGCATGTGCTTGAGGAAATTGTTCTATTTAATAAGGGTTCTTTGTACTTAGCTCAGGCATGTCAAGAAGGTTGTGAATCTTGATTTTTTTAACATTCTTTGAAACTTGTAAGTGCTAGTGTGTTAGTTTGGTGAATAGAGCCTTGAAGGAAAATTTTTGCTGTAATTGTGTTTATATGTGAGACATTTTAGCAAATACCTTGTGCATGTTTTGTTGACTACTAGCTTTGAGGGACATTATTGGCACCACATCAGGTCAGAGGAATGTTTGTGACAACAATCCATTTAATTTAAGGCCACAAACGTAAATTGGTATGAAGCTTTCTTTTATTTCTTTTTCCTTGGTTGCCTACTTGCCTAATATTACTCCAACTTCTTTTTAATGATACATACTTCCAAAGACACCTATTAAATATCAGATTTTTTATTTCATGGATTCTTCAATGGTTCTGATTTAAGTTAGACTTTTTATGTGCTAAAGATAATTTTGATATGTAACTGATCTTTATCTGCTTGTTTGTCAGGAGTCACCTGTTTTTGAGCTTCTGAAAGTCATGGTTATAGAGGATATGATATATTTTATTCATGCAAGAGCACTTGCAGAATTTGTAAAGTCAAGTTTAAATTTGGAAACAGAAGTGGTTCTCATTGATGTTGAACAGGATCCTCCAAAGGTTTTGTTCTATTGAAACATTATCCTTGAAATCTGTTGTTCGTTTCATACTCAAATTCCTGATGCATTGTGATTCCAGATGATGGCACAAAATTATAAAAGCTCTGCAGCTGCAGAATTTCTATCAATTCAGAAGAAGTTTTATTCTCTCTTTCATTCGAATCCAGTGAAAAGGGATCTCTTGCAATGTGAAGGGACTGAAACAAGGACTGGTACTGGGACCTCCAACTCCACTGGGGTAATTGATCTCAGCAGCTGGATTCAGGAAACTGAGGTCACAATTCCAGCCATTAATGGGTACCAACCTACTTTCACCTCATCTTTCATAGCTTTTATTTCTGGATATATATCTCATTATTTACTTAATCTATTAAGTTACCTCCTAGTCTTCAAAAAGGCTTATTTCAATTGTATCATCCTTGTTGCCATGCATATGATTAAACTTACACTGTTTTATCTTCATGTCTTGCCTAATGTCCACAAACTGCTAGTAACATGTAGGGAATGACCACTTGGACCCTTAAGTTTGATGTCAGATGTGCTTGCCAGCCAAAAGAGCAAAATGTGATCTGTAGGTGTTATGCATATAGATTGTGATCAGATCTGGAGTTTGACAATTCTGTTTCCCCAATAACTTGGGTATAGCACTCAATGCAAGAGAAGTGTTGGACCCAGAATTTAGGAGGGTCAAGTTCTTTCACTTTTCCTTTGTATGATGTATAATTTGCTTGTCATCAGCTTGAGTTTTCCTGTGCCACCTATTCTCTATTTCAGGTACATGAGTACAGCAATACCAAATGTTGCTAAAAGTTCTTGAAGTTATGAGTTGTAGATGAATTGCTTAATTTATTGGTCTTAATCACATATTTTTATTTGACTTCCCAACATTTAGATTTTTTGTCTTGATTATCTCTTCTCCATCCTATTAATGCGGGAAACCTGATATTGAAAATTACTTTTTTGTAAAAGCTACACACTGGTTTTCACAATTACTAAGTTACCAGGCAGAATGGTCTTTTGTATGGTTTGAGAATTGGCCTTTAACCACTTGTTTAAGTCTTTCCACTTGGCAGCTATGGAGCCCATATGTAATGTTTTTGTCTTTATATCAAGTGTTACTGGGCTTTTTCGAATATTTCTTTGTGGATTACCAATTGGGATCCTTGGAAAGTTTACTACTGTTTCCTGCTTTCCTTGCTTTGCCCATGGGTCCATGAAGGTTGTTAATTACAAATCTTTTGCTCCAGATGGCTTCTTGGTTATCCAGTGGTATACTTGTTCTGCAAGGAACATATTGAGGACGCTGTATGTAACCTCTCCACCAAGTCCCTAAATCTATATCAAATTTTTGTTAGCAGGTTCGTATAGACACATATAGCTTGAAAGTCAACTTCTTGCAGTTTTTAATTTGTTTCATTATGTTTGGTTTTTACTACAAGTTACTTCATCTTCTTCACAAATTGTTGACGTCACAAACAACTGTAGTGCAGGATACACTGATGTTATGTGAATGACACGTATTCTTTGTTTGTTGTAATTATTAGTGCTTTAACCATTCATGCAATAATGAATGTACTCAATGAAACTTCTACTAAATCACTATAACATGGCCGTTTTTGTGATCATGTGCATTTCTGGTTGTTGATAAATTTAAGCAGGAAAGCTATTAGTCAGGCTAATTTCAGGAATTGCTGGGCAAAGATGAATCTTAAATATTGTAGAGATACTGCTGTAGAAGATAAAGGAAAAATTGGATAACATGGCTTGCCACATTTTAAGCATATTCATCAATCAGAACTTCATATAAAGTGCATTTTATACCTTCTCTTCCCCTGTCATTGACTGTCCAGACCCACGATACCCTTATCCTTGAAAGGTGCAGGTCTTGCTTTTGACTAAAGAAAAGCAACGGTTATAGGGATACTCTCCTGGAACTGGAATGCTTTTTCTCAAAGGTAAGCCAATTCTGGATGCTTTGCTAGTAGCCAAAGGATGAACCTATTGAAGAATTATTAGCCAAGAAGGTGATCTATGTAAATTGGACATTGGAAAAGCTTTCGATCATGTTAGAGTTTCTCTTGTACCTGAAAAATAGGATGGGATTCCAGACAAATGGTTCAAATGGATAAAATTCCACATCTCAATACCAATTCTTTATACTTTTAAATGGCTCCTCTGTAGGCTTGTCTGTAGCTTGACCTAAGGCAAGGAGACTTTTCATCTCCTTTCCCTTTGATAAATCACCATAAGAGCATTGAACAGGGTCATCATGAAAATGGAGTCCATGAGATAATTGAATGTTTCCCTGTTGTAGTGATGGAAAGGAGTTGGCAGGATATTTTAAACTTTTAGCATATGGTACTGTACTGCATTGTGAATTAAGAACTTGCTAGATAAGAGTGATTAGATGTGTAATGTGTTCTGCACCTTTATGCATTTTGTTGCTGATTTTGGAGTTTAGGAATGACAAGCTGTCAGTCCCGCATAGGCGAATAGGCAATGCAAATCAGTTCATTGGAACAGCATTTACTTTTTGATTCAGGAATATTGACCAAGAGATTCCTTGTGATTTGTTGATTTTATCGGCCAAGCATGTAGATCTCCTGGTAGATAGTTTTTCTTTTGTAATTCTGGTTGCACCTCTTGGTGCCTTTTGATATGTTTTCTACCATTGAAACAAATACTACAAAATAAAGCAAAAGGTCAACACCATTGAATAGGGGAAAACAGAAGGATTAATGACTACAACTATATTTTAATTATTCTTCCTTCATTTTTATTTTTATTTTTTTGATTTTGTATTTCTTTTCCCTGTCCCCTTACCCTTTCTCCTGCTTTCTCTTGACCTCCTCCAGTCTAAGACCTTCTAACCATACTTCGCACCTATCCCTCTCTTCCCCAGCACCACAAGCTTTACTTCCTCCATTTTCCTACAGTGTTGCTTCCCCTTTCGTCATTTGCAACAACACCTTCCCCTTTTTCAACTTAGATCTGAGGCCAAAGTCCTTATACCACTGTCCCATCCTCATCTCATCTATTCTGATTGAAGCATTACTAACTTGTTACTGCCCCCTGCTTTGCCCTTCCAACCAGACTTGCAAATGGTATTCTGTTATTCTGTTCAAGAGTTGCCAATGCTTGCTATTGTTTGAATTTTTTTGAATGGCCTAATCAGAAGAAATTTCTTGAGATTTATAATCCATGTCAGGTAACAACTATTTGGATTAGAAATTTCATTTCTACTTTATTATTATTTGAGTTCTAGCTTGATCTTCATCTTTTTGGTTTGAGTTGAGTTTTATGTATTTGGCTATTTTGAGGTTGATTGTCAAAGTTGTGGTGTTTCAATATTGTGTAGGATAGTCTGACATCAAAAATATGAAATTTTACTTTTATTTGGTGGTGGAGATGGTGGTGATATTGGAGGAAGCACTGTTTGTGGCAAAGTGTTGCTTTTTCTTTATTATTTTTGTTAGAGTGAGCATAGGATTGGATATACTGCAACATTGGATTGCTTTGATGTATATACTGCAAAGATATGCTCTGGTGGCATACGGCAATGACCGGCAAAAGGAGCTCATGCCCAACATGCTTGCACCTATACTATTGTGAGTGGTTTTGGGAAATGAAGAGGAAGAAGAAGAAGAAGGGACAAAGAGAAGAGAAACAGAAATGAACAAAAGTTAAAACTTGTTCAAAGCATACAGTTTCCAAGTTTTATTCTATAAGTTAAATAATAACAGAAAATCCAATCATTACCCTTTAGTCAAATGTTAACATTAACATTTTTGAGGTTAATGTCTTAAAATGATAGAAATCATTTAATTTTGACAGCTCAACCATGAGGTGTAGAATAAATATTTCTCTAATAAATAATCAATTGTAAAATTAGAGGTAATTGGATGAACAAAAACATAGATGGAATGGAGAAAGAGGTATTGTGTAGTTGACCCATGATTGCTTTTTTTTTTTGTTTTTTTTTTAATAGCACTTACAGCCCTTGGTTTAGTGGAATGAAGAAAGATGATTTGCCTAGCTGAGCAATGAGGTCTGGGCTATCGTAATTGATTGAGTTGAGTTGGAGTAATTAAACTCATCATTCTTTGGTGTTTATGCATCCGAAAAAATAAACCTGACCTTGAAAAAAAGATGCCTTATGTAGCCATGATGTGTGGTTACTACTGACATGTTTCCTGGGAGTCTAATAATGATTACTTTTCATTTTAGCGTTGTCTTTCTTGGATCTTGCTATATTTAAACTGTTTTTCAATACAGATGATGTAGACATAAACCTTTAACTGTGCCTAAACTTTTTTAATGTTTATGTTGTCTGTTTAAGTATTTAATCTTTATGTCTTTTTCTCTGTGCAAATAACATTCTTTTACTTCCTTAGTGCCAGTTCTTTTTTTTTTTTTTTTGTTGGGGTGGGGGTAGGGGAGGGCTTGGTTGAGGTTATGCCTAACCATATGCTGATATTTTTGTATTTGTGATTGTAGGAGTGGGATACCTAGTAGAGGAGCTCAATGTGAAGAATTAATGAGGTACACTTCTCTATGCATATTCTAAGTTCATGTGTTTGGGGTATATATTTTTGGGTAGAAGAGAACAGGGAAAATTACATGCAGAGCCCAAATGCAAACTCTTTAAATTTAGGATTTTTTTTTTTAACTCACTGAGGTTTGAATGGAACTGTTAAAAGCTTTGGGCTGAGATGATCCAACTGTCTATTACCGACCTGAACGCACTAACTGGCTTGCTTTCGGTTTGACTTCTAACTCAAATTTGGTTCCATGTTTGCAATTTAAGTTGGGATGCTTCCTGGCAGAAGGATCTTGAGATCAAACTTTGCTTCTACTGATTATAATTTTTGTGTTTGTTGTCGCATTTTAAAGGCATATAGCTTGCTACCTGAGTTTTTTTTTTTTGTCCATTCTTTCTTTCTTTGCTTTCTTCTCTGTGACTCCACTTAAGGTTTTTTTCCATACGCATCTAGTTCTCAGTTACATCATGCTGAACATCATGTGAAACGGGCATGACTTTTTTCCAAAATTGATGTGGTTTATCAAGAGTTTCTATTGCCTATATTGACTTCAAAATCCCAGCCTCCAAAGACAATATTGCTGATTCTTCAATTCTTTGTGTGAATTAGAGATGCCAAACTACTAGCTCCATTCAGCCTCTGCAAGTCACCTTAAAGAAACTGAAGACTTGTAAACTACAGTGTTACTTTTGACAAATATAGCCTCCTTGAACACTGCAATTGATTGATCAACTTGTGAGCATTCATGAGTGATAACATGGCCTCCGTCCCTTGACTAAATTTTGAGTTGCTCATTTCTGCTTCTGTTTTTGTAACAAGTCATTGAAATAAAATGACATCTGAATAATGTAAACAGATTCATGTAAATTGATTCCCTGAAATAGGAATAAAATAGCAACTAAGATAAGGGTTGAAGGCGGGGGATCCAACAAAAGCTACAAGATTTTCTAGTGAGCAAAAGTTATAGAAGTTACTCTTGGTATTTCTTCTTGTTGCTTCAGCAATTGTTACCTTGCATAGAAAGTACTGTTTGGTGAGCTTGCTGTGGAACGAATCATAAGAGTGATTTTTATGAGTTTTAAATTATCTGCAAAAAAACCGTTAAGCTTTGGTTTCAATATGAGTTTGTTATGGCATCACATAATTGTCACTCGTGATAAAGCAGCTTCACAGTACCATATGACCTGAGCTTGGAAGGGCGCAATGAACCATGGGCAAAGTCATTTTTGCTCCGTATGCAGGCAAAATTGGAAACATGCAAGCAAGTTTGGGGATCTTTGAAAATGGAGGTCAGTGGTTGTTATCCACAAGCAATTGTTTTGTAATAATTTCCTACTATGCCATCCAAAACAAATACAGAAGACAAAATTCTTTAGCAAGTACAGGTAGTGTTATCAGGTTTTGGATTTTTTAACTCAATATGATTAGAGTACTCAATTAAGGTTCTTAAATAAGTGTCAACTTTGCTGCAGTTTGGGTAAGATCTGCATTTGAACAAGTGTAAATGTGCACTTAATTGATGTACGGTGAATTCGGCATTGCATCTGTTCGTGTGTAGTCTGATGCACAATACTCCTATAGAGCGTATGCATCCTTTCACATGGATATTTCCCCCAAGTAGAATGAAATCTCTTTGATGTCAATCAGATTGTTTAGATTTAATGTGGTCTCAGATTGAAATTGTTCTCGATTTGGTATTTACGAAGTGTTCGCTTGCATATGGCACCAGCGTTTAGTTTGTTACCCCCCTTGAGGCATCCAGCACATGATGGGCGAAGATATGCTGAAGTTCCAGCCGAGACCCGAGCACTTTGCTCCTCAGTATACAAATACGAGACTTGAGTATGTACAACGATTGCACTAAATCTTTGACAAAGCATTGATAGAAGCTAGTAGGTTCATGGAAGCTTCGTACATCACTAACCGACTTTGGAGTATGTCATTCTTGTATGCCTTTGACCTTTTCTTCATCTACATAAATGCCTTGATCACTAAAAACATATTCTAGAAATACAGGATAGTTAGTGCAAAAAATGTACTTCTTGAGATTAACAAAGAGCCTTTGAAGCACCTAAAAAATAGTCCTTAAATATTCAAGTTATTGAGCAAAACTCTTGCTATGGATCAAGATATCAGCAAAATAAACGAGTATAAATTTTTCCAAAAAAGGTTGCAAAATATGGTTCATTAGTCTCATGAAAGTACTAGGTGTATTAGTAAGTCTAAATGGCATAACTAAACATTTATATAAATCATGTTTTGTCTTAAAAACTATTTTTCTCTCATCTCCCTCTCTCATCCTAATTTGGTGAATGCCACTTTTATGGTTAATTTTAGTAAAAATGACTGAATCATGCAATTTATCTAACATACTTTACCGTTATCGTATTTACAATCCTACAATTGGTGCACATTCTCTATGCTCCATCCTTCTTTGGCACTAAAATGACTGGAACAGCACATGAACTTAAACTCTCACGAGCCCATCCCTTTCTCAACAGCTTATCTACTTATCTTTGCAACTCCTCGATCTCCTCTAGACCCATGCTATAGGCTGATTTGTTTGGTAATGGTGCGTCCGGAACTAAATCAATTTGATGCTTGATGCTTCTCATAAGTGGCAGTCTATTAGGGATCTCCTCAGGAAATACATCTTGAAATTCTTGCAAAAGAGATGAAACACTAGAAGGCAAAGAATTATCAAGTTCATTAGAAATAATCAACACGTTTTCGTAAAAGAGCACAAATAGGGGCCGATTAGAAATCAAAACTCGCTTGATATCTTTCGCTTTTGCAATTAAGCTTTGTTTCCTTTCCTTTTTTCCTCTCTTGGCCGACTCTCCAATTGCCTTTTTCCCCTCAACTAATTTGGTCACTCTTTCTTGCTTTTGTGTCTCACTTTTCTTTCGATTTTTTCTCTCACTTTCCCTCTGAAGTCTCAATTGATCCCCATACACTTGTCTAGGAGCAAGTGGTACAAAAGTGATTTTCCTATTACAATGCATAAAAGTATACTACTTAGCATGTCCATCATATTTATCAAACTGCCATGGACAACCCAAGAAAACATGACTAGTTTGCATTGGTACTACATCACATAAAACTCCATCTTTGATTAACCTTTATTTTATCCATTCTTAGTTAGGTTTTAGGTTAATTTTTGGTGTGTTTTAAATTAAAATGAAAGAATTGAGTTCTTTTATAAGTTACTTTTCATACAAATAGTATTTCTTCATCAAAACATGCAAAAGTGTGGGCTAATATGCAAAATTGCGTTGTTTTGTAGGTTTTGGTATCATAGGAAAATATTCAAGTCAAAATGAGTTTTACAGTTTTAACACACTTTGGCATTTTGGCTATATCTTGAGTTACAAGTATCAGATTGAAATGATTCTTGACCCATGTTAAAGCTAATACATAGCTCTACAATTCATATGAAGACATTGAAATCCAGTCTATTGAGTTTCCTGATCAAAAAGTAAAAATACAATTGACAAAATTTATGTCAAAAGCTGAAATAAAGCATTTATCAGTCAAGAGTATTTTGGTCATTACTCAGCCTACAGAGATCCAAATTAGATGAATCTTGATGCATTGCAAAGTTAACTCAAAGAGCTATAACTTTTATGTTTGGTGCATGAGATAATTCGGCCTCCATCATCAAGAAAATTATAGTTGAAATTGGACCAAAAACAAAGCAAAGTTGAGTTTTGAGCTGAATGTGCAGAACTGAAAACAAAGAAGATCCAAGAGGCATACACCTCACAGATCTCTGAAACAAAGCTGCAACTTGTTTTGTAACTTGCACTCTGCTCACATAAACTTTTTGACCAATTCCTCTGTAAGAAAAATGGTTGGAACTAGCTAAATTTGAGTTGGAGAAGAGAAAAACAACTTTGTGACTACATTATGAGAATATCTTCTCTTCCAAAACATCTATAAATACCCTTTCAGTCTCATTCATTTGAGCATCATGTTAGCAAGATATAGCACCTTATTGTGTGAAGTAGAGTAGAGTAGAAGTAAAAATAAAAATATTTTTAGCTTTACTTTCATATTGTAAGTTTCAAAATTAGTTTAAGAGCTTTGAAAGAAGGGTGAAAACACTCTTGTATCAAGGTTATTTGAGAGATCAACTTGTGAAGGAATTCAAGGATTCAAGTTTCAAGACATTGAATAAGAATTTTTCTTCCCAACTTTGTCTCTTGTTCTTATTTGTCACGCTTTGTTACAAGTTTGTTTCATACTTAAATGTTCTTAATATGATGTCTAGCTAAACTTTTTCATATCCTAGAGTGGAGATGAACTTGTTATAATTTTCATTTGAAATAGTCAGGGAATGATTGTGCTTTTTTATGATTTGTTAGTTTGAAAACTTATACTTATGCTTTATAGTTGTTTGGCTATCAATTATGAATAATTTGATAATTGTTGAGCAATGACACAAGACACAAACAATGAAACGAAAAGGGATATAACTTTGATACCTTCAACTAGCTCTGATGCCAGCTGATACGATCTACTCCCTATTTCAGATGTAACCCATAACACACAAGCCACAGGATCCAGAATGGAGTATTAACATTTGAGTAGTGGAAATCAAAGTGAACTTGGACCGCACAAGAACATATATATTGATAAACGATGCCACAATCAAGGTGACAACTTGATTGATAAATCAATGAGTACTTTATGAACCACTCTAAGATGTTCAAAAGTAACTTTCACAAGTCAAAAGAATTGTTTCTCTCAAGAAACAGTTTACTAGAAAATTCTCAATGTCGTTACATAATGCTTCAAAGATTCGGCTATTTATAGCCAAGTTACAAAACCAAACGGGCCTAGACTGAACAACTTAACTAACTAACTAATGAACTAATTAAGGCTTAACTTAATCTAAAGCTGGCTGATTTTATTCTCCTAACCAAAAGGCCCAAATGGCTCAAAGAACTAAGCAACTAAAAGAGATCTAACTTACATGCAAGCTGGCCCAAATTTTTTCCATACAAACTAATCTCATGAAAACTAAGTGAAAAATGACTCAAAATAGCAAACAACTCGATCTACTCCTTGATTTCACGACCTAGGGTTTGTGGCAAATCCTTCATCAATAGCTTCAATGTGAATCAAAGTTTTGGTTCGTTGATGTTGATTCTCCAACTCGACCCCTTCAATATACTTATAAGCACCTTCTTGCTATTGAACAACTCGAATGAATGCTTGAAATGAGTCTTTAAGCTTTTTAGCTTGAGCTATTGAGATTGGACCAATGGGAACCTTTATTTGATCAAAACTTGAAACTTGAACCTCACAGGCATCTTAAGCTCCCATATCATAATATATTTTGTGTAGGATGCGACAGATGACAAAGATGGAGAGGTGACTGAACATACATACATTCCATCACTCCTAAACTCAATGCTAGCTATTACATTCTGCATAGGAAGGATCATAGCTTTTGCCGTCCTTTCTCCTGATATAATCGTTTGGAGATGCTAGCTGCAATGAATGAAAACTAACCTAACCTAACACACTTTTGGTATGCATGTGTGCTAATACTCACATGTGTTTATAAATCTAAATTTTAGAACATTTACCTTCCTAATACGCTGCATGAAACTTTTCTTTGTGCTCCTTTTCTTCTCACTTGAGACACACTTCGCATTCCACAAGCTTCCCTTTTTTCTGCATATTCACTGTCCTATGAATAGCAGAACCAATGGATGAATCTTCTGACTCCATTTGCACCAACCTGCTCATCTTGACATATCATACATTGGCACCTACTAACATCAATTTTTTTTCCTGCTTACTCCTTTAAGCTTAACCTTTCTTCTCATATCTTCAACCTCCCTAGGCCAGCTACTTTATCTCCTTGCAAGCAGGTCCTCTTTATTGTTTCATACACTACTAAGGCTTGTATCTGAGTATACTTTGCCCTTATGACTCTATTTTCCTGTCAGTTCACTAATAGTCTAAAGTATCATTGTTTGCCTTTCGGTTCCTATCTACTTTTTAAACTTATTAAACCCAAATTTGTTCCTTGTGCTTATCCATAACATATGGCCATGATATCTAGTTCTTGTCTGTCCATGAAATTATATACAAAAAGTCCAATAACTTGCCTTGTTGTGGAGTCAATTTTCGCTAGATCTGACAATTGGGCCACAATTACTAGAGTATGTTGGACCATTATGTTTTGCCCACAAATATTGCTTCAAATACACCCCCTTAGTCATGAAACTAAGAATAAATATCCATCATAAAGTTATAGGATCTAAGCCAACCCTTTTCCTGACATCTTCTATGACATAAGCTACTGCGCAAATCCTTTTATCTCCCGTCATGGTTGTTTCTAGTTTTCTATCCCGATCCCTCACTTTTACTCCACTGACAATATTGATTTCAGTGTTGCCATGTGTCGCTTAAGAATTTTTTCCTCCCCACATAAGACCTAGTTCATTTCCCCACCATAGTTTGATCTTATTTTTAGGTCTATAAACCATTAGTTTTGCTTGAAGCATTCAAATTCAGTGTATTACTACCAACACTATCCCCACCACTATCTGTCCTGTCACCTTTAACACCATTGCTACTATGGCATGACTGGAGTCCAAAATTAGCTTCTATGTCAAATCATATT